TCGAGTTTCCTCACTGGTGTTTCAAGAGTTCACACTTAGCTGATGATTGATTAAAAAGCTAATTTGGCATGCTATCCTGGGAGAGAGCGCTGAGCTCATTAGATCCTCGTGCCCAGGGCTCCCTCCCGTTTGCAAGGCGAGAGGGGAGTTTGAGCTCAGGTAGATCTCGAGAACTCCCCTGCTGATTGCTCTTAAGAGATAACTATTTACTACAAGCATGTCTATGGTGCCGATTTGGATTAGTCAATTAACTTAAGTTGCATGTTTTTGGATGGTGGGAGGAAACCGGGGAACCCAGGGGAAACCCACATGAGCATGGGGAGAACGTTTAAGCTCTGTACAGAAACGTCAGCTGGCTTGTTAAGGATTACAACCAGTGACGTTCTTGCTGTGAGGCAACAGTGCTAACCACTGGGCCACCGTGCCACCCATCTAGGAAAGGAGGAGGAGTAGGGGTGGAAAGGGGGATTCTTCAAAACGCTGTCAAATGGACCTAAGGGTATTTTTAGTGGCTTAGGAATCGTCTGTTTGGTGAATCATAAATTTAATAATGTGGGGCCGGCTGCAAGCAATCATAAGCACATGATCCTCTAGAAATTAGTTTATAAATAACCTTCACTTATGTTCCTCTGTGTCGAGTTTCCTCACAGGTGTTTTGTTTTTTTTCTGAACACTGCAAGTAGCTAAAACTCGGTCATTCAGAATCGGGACATGCAACAACTTTATCATAAGGTAAACACAAAACACCTTCACAGAACTCAACACTTGTAAACACTCACTCCATCTGGCTCTCATCGCCGTCCATGCTCCAAACTCGACACAGAGGAACATAAGTTAAGGTTATTTATAAACTAATTTCTAGAGGATTTTATGCTTATGATTGCTTGCAGCCGGCCCCGCATTATTCAATTTATGATTTACTACGCTACACATAATTACGACGCATAGTTAAATTTTTGAGAGGCTTGCATCAGCGTCAGCTCCAGCCATGGCGAGGGCTATGTGACTAGTTGGAGGCTGCACTGGACCATACGTGTGCGCTTGACACAGAAGTATTAATCAGCCTTAACAGACATCTCGTCCTCGCTATATCATTTGTTGTCTGAGAGTTGGAGAACCGAAAGTTAGAGGGGCGTGGTTAAGTATGTTAACCACGGCCAGCAGCTAGGACAGACGTAGGCTGCGTCTGAAATCGCATACTTTCATACTATTTAGTATGGTAAAAACAGTATGCAAGCCCAGTATTACAGTTGAAGTCAGAATTATTAACCCCCCTGAATTATTAGCCCCCCTGTTTATTTATTTCCCCAATTTCTGTTCAACGATGAGAAGATTTTTTCAACATATTTCTTAACATAATAGTTTTAATAACTCATCTCTAATAACTGATTTATTTTCTCTTTGCCATGATGACAGTAAATAATATATTACTAGATTTTTTCAGGACACTTTAATACAGCTTAAAGTGACATTTAAAGGCTTAACTAGGTTAATTAGGTTAACTAGGCACGTAAGGGTAATTAGAAAAGTTATTGTATAACAATGGTTTGTTCTGTAGACTTACTATCAAGAAAAAAGGGGCTAATAATATTGTCCTTAAAATGGTGTTTAAAAAATTAACAACTGCTTTTATTTGAGCCAAAATAAAACAAAACAGACTTCTTCCAGAAGAAAAATTATTATTATACATACTGTGACAGTTTCCTTGCTCTATTAAACATCATTTATGAAATATTACAAAAAGGGGGGCTAATAACTCTGACTTCAACTGTGTGTCTGAATTTATAGAATTCGAAAAACAGTATGTGAGAAAAACTTCTCATACTTCAGCCTCCACATCCAAGTTCCTGCAAAGAAGGTCAAGGTGCTCCAATATTGGCCAGCCCAGTCACCAGATATGAACAATATTGAGCATGCCTGGAGTAGGATGAGGGAGGAGGTATTGAAGATGAATCCAAAGAATCTTGATGAACTCTGGGAGTCCTGCAAAAATGCTTTCCTTGCCAGCCCAGATGACTTTTTAATAAGTGATTTGAGTCATTGCAGAGATGTATGGATGCAGTCCTCCAAGCTCAATAGAGTCATACATAATATTCATTCTTTTTCCACTGCAGCATGACTTTATATTCCATACTGTACATTATTTCTGTCAAGTGGAAAAAGTCAGACCTTACTCTCCCAATAAAATATTAAAAATCAAGGCATGATCATATTTTAATTTGGTAAAATAAAGCATAATCAAGAGGCCTTAGCCTTTTATATAAGCCACTTCTGACACCAAATGATCAACTAGACGGCAAGTTATTATTTGTTGTTCCTAAAACTTAGATACGCCACAAAACTTTTGTCATGTAGTGTATATAATGTGCAAAATACTTTTAGATATTCTATTTTTGTTCTAATCACACAGCATAAGGCACCCTGTTGTTAAGAAATGCTATACTTAAAAATCAAAGTAGTAAAACTCTGTGAAGTACTGTCGACAAGCACATTTCAGAGAAAAGAAAAAAATCATATAATCTAAAATCATAAAAAGCTTTTTGTTCCGCCAAATAACTGCTGTATATGTTTTATTTATTTATTTATTTTTTTTTCATTTGGGGATATTCATTTGAAGCTGTGATAGTTCTGTTGAGATGTATTTGAGAAGAATCATTTATCAACGAAAGACATTGCTGCTGCTGACATTGATACAGGCTAAATATAGACAGTTTTTTTTAACATAAAAACAGCCTACTGCTTGATGCATCTATTTTTTAAAGACAAAAACTGACTTGAATGTGGATCTCATTAAAATGACTTCCACAAAAACCATTGTTCTATAATATGCATGCAAAATAGCAAAAAGACTAACATTTCTAACAGGATTTGTGCATAATTCTGTGTATTCCGACTTTGATGTGCCACCCAAACCAATCAGTGACTCACCTGTGTGCGGTAAATTTGGTTCTCAGCCATGGGTTGAAGGCTCCCAGTAGCTGATCTTTCCTCTGCGTCATCTGTTTCATCTGTGGATTTGGGAGATGCGCCTTGTGCCAGTTGATTTTCCACACCGTGTACCTGTTGCTGGAGGCGGCCCAGCACATCCCGAGTGCTGACAGGAGTCTGGAGCTCTGCCTGGAGGATAAAGCACAGATTTCAATCAAACCTTTAATTCAAAGTGCACAAATGCATCCCCGTTAATGACTAACGCAAGCACACTTTCTATAGGCGAAGCGTTCATCCAAATTGTTAAATGCATGTCTTGTGCTCAAAACAAGCTTTATGGACAACATCAGTTGCGCGCTGTTGCTTCCAGTGAACATTTCATCCATCAGTTCATAGAAACAAGCATAATGGCGTAACCAGACACTTACAATGGTGTTGTACTAGGGAAAATGTGCACTTAAAAGTAAAAAAGGATGTACAGTTGAAGTCAGAATTACTAGATCCCCTGTTTATTTTTTCCCTAATTTCTGTTTAACGAATAGAAGATTTTTACAACACATTTCTAAACATAATAGTTTTAGTAACTCATTTCTAATAACTGATTTATTTTATGTTTGCCATGATGACAGTAAATAATATTTGACTAGATATTTTTTAAGACAATTTCAAGACATTTAAAGGCTTAACTGGGTTAATTAGGTTAACTTGGCAGGTTAGGGTAATTATGCAAGTTATATATTGTATTTTATAATGATGGCTTGTTCTGTAGACAGTCGAAAAAAATAGCTTAGAGCTAATAATTTTGTCCTCAAAATGACCTTAAAAAATTAAAAACTTTTTTTCTGCTTTTATTCTAGCCAAAATAAAGCAAATAAGACTTTTTCCAGAAAAAAAATATTATCAGACATATTGTAAAAATTTCCTTGCTCTGTTAAACATCATTTGTGAAATATATAAAAAAAAGAAAACAATCAAAAGGGGGCTAATAATTCTGATCTCAATTGTATTTTGACTTTTTTAAATTAAGAAACTAAATAAAAAAAACTAATTAATAAAATTACAACAAATTCATAAAAAAACAATTACAGTTACAGAGTACAGACCACCACTGACAGTGCACGTTTCTTCACACATAATGCTGCAACTTGTCAAGCGCAGTCACGCGCTGTGCTGCAGCAGCAAAGCCCGCCTTTTTATTTAAAAAAAACAAACACTTTTGTGCTTCACTCAATATCCACCAGGTGAAGCAAGGAACAACCAATTTTCCATTATTGGGCCAGTGTGAGCAAACGCCCCAAAAAACAAATAACCCTCTCTGTGGTACGTCTCCGAAAGCATCGGTAGCTAACTGAGATCGCAAGTTCCATCATTATGCTGCGTTCACACCAGACGTGGAAAAAGCGTCAAGCACAAGTGATCTACATGTTAAGTCAACGCAAAGATGTGAATAGACATCCTGTGGCACGATACGTGTGAATGAGGTAGCGCGAATGATGCGATTCGTGTGAATGAAGTGGCGCAAGTTGCGCATTTTGCACGATTGACGCGCTAAATTTACGTTTCAAGTGAATTGCTCGAGTTGGATAATCTGAACTTCAGCGGACATTTTTGCTGCGTTAACCAATCAGGAGCTTTCTCTTGTAGGGGCATGATTATGACGTAGCGCCTGTTGTTGGTGTCCTGAAAGGAAAATCCTCCTCCCGACACCGACAAACGTGGTGGATCAGTTCAGCATGTGCGTGAACATACCCTGTGCGCGCGAGCACTAGTTTTCTCATAAAATGAGGTGACTAGAAAAGTTCATTTGATTTAACTAAAACATTTAAGGAAGGAAGATTTTTTTACAGTGTAATTGCTCTTTTTATTACTGATGCAAACCATATTAAATCTCTCTGTAAACATGTGTAAATGAATAATAGCCCTGAAGAAAAGCATGATCAAATCACTGGTAGCCGGTCGACTAATTCATCCTTATGACATCATGCGCTTAAGATAACATTGTTAATGGTCATTATGATGGTCGGGGCTGCTGAGTAACCTCTCTTGACTGTCTTGTGAATTCATTTGTATTATGCACTAGAGCAAACCTGAAATGTAATCAAATTAATTAGTTTAAGCAATAGGATACTATTACGAAAGCAATAGGATACTATCAAAATGAAGAGAAGTGCATTGCAATCTGGAAACAGATGTTTAAAGGGAAATGAAGCCTATGGGGAAACGCTTCTTTGTCAGAGGCTGACAAAGACAAAGCAAGATTGTGAAGAATAAACCGGAGGATAAAAATAATATTTGTTCCCTTTTTCCCCCTCGGAAGCAAATTAAACGGGATTAGGATGCTGCATCAGAGCCGAGCGAAGTTAAATATGATCCTCGGTTTCTTGCCAAGCCTGGCAACCATTTTAAGCAGAGTGTAAATTTGTGACTGCTTTCTATTTCGCTCGGTGCACCTTCTCTGTAGTATTTTAGGGCATCATAATCAAGCTACAGCAAGAGTGATCCAAACAACCAGTCCAAGAATGCACTGTGATGCAATCAGTGAAAAGTCAAACGCAATATGGTGGATGAATAGTTTATAAATCACTGATAAGTTGTTTATGACTCTGTTGAATCAGAATGAATCAGAATCCCCCCCCCCACCCCTGTATAATTATCCCCAATTTCTATTTAACAGAAAGATTTGTTTCATTGCATTACTAAACGAAAAAGTGTTAATAATTACTTTGTAATAGTTTATTTTATCTTTGCCATTATGACAGCACATAATATTTTACTGGTTATTTTTCTAGATACTAGTATTCAGCTTAAAGTGACATTTAAATGCTTAACTAGATTAATTAGGTAAGGCAAACAAGGTTAATAAGGCAAACCATTGTATAACGATGGTTTGTTCTGTAGACAATTGACAAAAAAAATGCTTAAGAAGGCTAATAATTTTGACCTTAAAATGGCAAAAAAATTAAATACATTTAAAAAAGTTTTCATTCTAGCCACAATAAAACAAATAAGACTTTTTTCCAGAGGAAAAAATATATAATCAGAAATACTGTGTAAAATTCTTGCTCTTGCTCATAATTTGGGAAATATTTAAAAAAGAAAAAAAAATCACTTAATAATAATTTTGATTTTTACTGGATAATTACACAAAAATTTCTCAGGCAATTAAAACCTGTAAGTTGTGTTGGAAAAAAAATGCAAATAGAAGTTTTAAATTTAAACAGCTTGCTTAATTAAAGTGAATGAAAGGAAGGTGTGTTGTTTCTGCAGTACCACATTTTGGTCAATAGGTAGAGTAATATCTGCAATGTGGAGATTTTTTACCTTTTTGTGTATTAATATTGAGCCTGTGACAACATTTAAATCATTATTGTGACGTACTCTCTTGTAATATGTATAAAGTATGTATAACTCCCATGTTGTGTATAACGTTAGCGTTATAGTATTGTTATAAAATTGCCATGTTACGCTTGTCCTTTTTACAATATAGTTAGAAAAATGTATAGTTTTTTCTTGCATTCCTGTGAAAGTTTATACTTGGTAAACTTTGCTATATATTAAAAACGCCAAATAAAGTTGCAAACATTAGCATAAGTTAGCTACATAAAGGTAATGTTGTTTAGTTCAATCAACATAACATGCATAATTTAGCTTTAATCTTATTTAGTTCAATTTAGATATCGAACTTAACTAAACTAAATAGATTAAAGCTAAATTAATAATGTTGTGCTGATTGAACTAAACAACATTACATTACCTTCATGAAACTAACTTAAGTTCACTAAAATAAATATTCTTTCCTTAAGGTAACTTAACTTAGTTAAGTGATAAAAAAGTTATTAAAGCCAACATATCCTTTATTTGAGTGTACCATCAGATTATTTTACCGTATCACTTTAGACTCATGTTAATATAAAAACAGTGCAAGCAGATTTTCCCTGAGAGATCAGAAAAAGCCCATCCATACACTTTCCCTAGATTAAATAAATCTGGAAAAGTGGCCAAAAGATGACAAAAGAGGCCGATTAAAAAATCAGCTGTAAATAGGAACGACTCTACCTTATCGGTTTGCCATTTGATCGACCAAGACACATCTCAATACCAGGTGTAATCAGAGCTTTAACTACTGTAACAGCTAACTGAAATCTATTGAATCAATTATAAGGTAAGTCTCTTGTGTTTTGTGCTTAATGAATATCTTTGTAAGATAATGCAAATTAGTTAACCGTTTACATTAATTTAACACTAAAAACAACTTAACAGTAACATTCCATGAACATAAAAAATTGACTTGGCAAAATTAAGTTGAAGTACTAAAACGCAGTTTATTTGACTGTGTGGTTTGAGTAAGAATACATTAAAGTTATAGCAAAGACTACAGAATACACAAGACGTGTCACTTGTATAGTTTTGAATGCGGGAAAAGTGTAATGGTCAATTTGGCGAATGAAGCCCAGCCTACTAATACAGGAGCCAATCATCGATATAGACTGACATTTCTCCGGAGGAGAAACTCAGACCAAATGTGTGCTTTTACGACAGTTTGGTGGTCAACAAATGAATACTTGCTTCACGGACATACAAAATATATGCAAATAAAGCTTGAAATCTGCACTTTTAAGTTAACCAAGTGCACTTTAAAGTAAAAGTTTTTTGGTTTTGTAATCTGTATGATACGAACACAATCTACAATCCGTCCTGTCAAATGCACATTACATGACAGCAACTACTCAAACGCCCACAAACTTGTAAACAAACACTTGCTGTTATTTATAGAGGAGATTTGCTATAATGAGCAAGTTGTGGATTACTTTTGAAGAGCAGTGCGATCAGACGATCATTATTTAGAGGACGATAATATGTAGAACGACCATTAATGAGGTTGGTGTCATGATCTCATTCCTTTCGGGTGCGCGTGCACATTCAGAAAATATGCTGAAATATGTTATGTAATCATAATCTTTGCAAACCGTTTTGAAGAATTTGATGTTTCCCCATTCAGACAGAATGCATGAGCATACTGCCCGGGAGGCATTTCAAAGAAGGCCGGCAAGTGAAATGACTTGCCTTAAAGGGACATTTTTTTATATCCTTTAAAATATATAAATTTAATTATATGATCTAAAGCTGTTACCATCATGCTAATATCCTAATTTGTTGCCCCAAACTGTATACATTTTTATCAATGTTGA